ACCCAGTAGTGTGCCCGGTCCCTCCCAGATCACCACCATCGCCACGCCGCCCGAAAAACGGGCCAGCCTCGGGCCGCAACCCTCCATCAATACACAGTCACACACGCCGGGGCCGTTTTGTGAAGGAGCCTTTCGAAACGAGCCCTCGCACACTCCAAGTGCTGCATGCACTCACAGTTTCTTTGGAATCGGGGCGAGGATAGAACTCTCGCAAGGCACGCATGCCAGTGGAGCGGGTGGCCAAGCGCCTGCACACTGCAAGATAGGCAATCACACGCACGCCAGTGGAGCGGGTGGCCTACGCTGGGACCCCTGTGAACTCCAAGGTAGGCAATCACATGCACGCCAGTGGAGCGGGTGGCCTACGCTGGGACCCCTGTGAACTCCAAGGTAGGCAATGACACGCACGCCAGTGGAGCGGGTGGCCTACGCTGGGACGCCTGTGAACTCCAAGGTAGGCAATGACACGCACGCCAGTGGAGCGGGTGGCCTACGCTGGGACGCCTGTGAACTCCAAGGTAGGCAATCACATGCACGCCGGTGCGGCGGGCCTGCCTACCTCGCAGGCTGCCTGCACAGTAAATGTCTTACGGTGAAAGGCTGCACCAGCATAATATGATGAAACATTTTCTCCATAATTCCAACGAAATTCGTCAAAATCTCTATAAAGGTATCGTGAATTCTCAATGGTATGTTACGAAGTCAGCTGCACCACCATAATGGAACATTTGCACCATAATATGGAGAATCTTCACTGTACAACATTTAGAGTGTGCCGGAAAGACGCGGGGCAAAGCAAACTCCCACGCAGGTCGGATATACGCATGCATCGCGATGCGCTCAGTGCACGAAAGTGCATCGGCTTACGTAAGCCCGCCCACACATCCCTGTGGAGTCAAGCGGCCAAACTTCACGCTAGAGAACTTTATGCATCATCTTCCGCGTAAGGACCTCACGCCGGTGCCGAGCCGAGCCGGAACGAGCACCGAAGCCGCGCCGGGGCGCCGCGTGAAAAAATGCTTTATGTTTATTCCGACTCGTCTGCCCCGCGGGACGGTCCCTATCAGAGAGTGAGACGAATAACGTATCAGCGATCGGAGGGTCGGGGGCGTGTGTGAAGGAGAGAGAGAGAGAGAGAGAGAGAGAGAGAGAGAGAGAGAGAGAGAGAGAGAGAGAGAGAGACGATGCGAGGGGACGGGAAAGGCAAGACGAGGATGGAAACGGAGAAGACGAGGCAATCGATTGCGAATGCCTTAATTTTGCATTTCCCTGCCCTGGGGGACCGTTCACTGCAGTGCACGCCCTCCGTTTCCTACCGAGAATTCAAATAAAGCTGTGCAGTCATCATACCAAGCCTTTTCTCAGAAGTGCACGGCACAAATCTATTAAAACTCTGGGAAATTTGTTTGCAATATGCTAGTCTGAAGTCACTGAAAACCCTTCACTATTTCAAGTTACCCGAGAGCAGTTGAGTGAATCGAAAGATCGGTTTGTCGCTATTAAGGAAAAACAACTCCAAATAAAAATTTGTGCCCCGAAATTGATAGACTATCTTGATTTATAGTCAAATTTCTACAAAAATGCACGAATATTTGTCAAAACTCAAAGAGATTCTTAAAAAAAAAACAACTGATATTTATGGAGGAATTTCTAGAAACTTGTTTGCATGTCGTTGAAATTCATGTGAAATTCAAAACTTTGTACACTGTACACCGTAGACTCTAAATGTCTTACCGTGAAAGGCTTCACCAATATATTATGGTGGAGATTTTCCCCATACTATAAAATAAATTCGACAGTATATTATCTGTACAGTACGATGAATTTTGAACTGTAAGATACGAAGTCAGCTGCACCACCATAATATGGGGAATTTTCACCATAATATGGAGAATTTTCACCATAATATGGAGAATTTTCACTAATGGTGAATTTTCACCATTATATGCAGAATCGTCACCATAATGTGGAGAATCTTCACCATAATATGGAAAATCTTCACCATTATAAGACTTTTAGAGTGTCCCCGTCCCTCTCGCACATTGATGGAGAGCCGCATGAGTGCGACAGAGACAGAATGGCGCGGCGACTCTTCCGAACCGCCCGGCTCGGCCGCGCACACCGCGGTGCACCGCCAGCACAATAATTATTGCTTGTCCACGGCAATGAGGCAAAGCCGTACGGCGAGGCAAGGCGTACGGACGTCCGTGAGAGGAAAGCAGACACAGCACTTTCTTTCAACGCCTGCCCGGCCCCGCCCACGATCAGAGATTGCGCCACCAACGCCACTTTTCCACATTTATTTACTACGGATTATATTCTCTCTCTTTGTGGGCACACTTTCATGTTTATGGACTCTCTGTGCATTAATTATTGGCGAAGGCCAATTTGAGCAGGTGGCAGCTGTATCCATTCGTACTCACAGAAAAATGTCAACGAAGCACACTCCATAACACACAAGAAACGAAGGCATTTTTAAAATCTACGCAAAATGGTTCGTACGTTAGAGGCAAAATCGTTCGCAATACGAAGCATATCTTCAAACTAGGAAGGAATTCCACAAAGCCTTCATGTTAATCGTAGCGACAAAGCAGATGCTTCATAGTCTTTCAATCTGAAAACCTTACAAACAATTTAAGTCCTACGAAGCTTCAACACAGAGCATACATAAGCTTACAAAGAAAATAATTCGTAATTTAAGAACTATTTCTCCTTGTAACAAACTCAATAAGTTCGCACTAGGTATGCTCAAAATACTTCGTAAGGTTTCAAGCGCGTTTATGAGTAGAATGCGATCGGGGAAAAAATTCATTCCATGCACTTTGCTCGTAACTCTCGCCGTTCGCGAGAAAAGGACGGTCAACGCCGCAGACGTTATCGAGTTGGCGCCCCGCTCACTGCGACCCCCCCCCCTTTTCCCCGCGCTCGACGTGACATTGGCCCTGAGTCCATGCGGCGCCCCCTCCCCCTCCCCGTGGGTGCGGGCCGGGCGGCGAGGCGGCGAGGCGGCGCGCGCGAGTCCGTTATGTAATGTCCCAAGGACGAGATGCCACCACGGCACGCCCCGCCCGGCTCCGCCTGGAAAAAGTAGGCCTGGAAGGGACGCCCTGTCCTGCCGCAGTCGCACGCCCAGCTAGACACGGCAGCCGCTGTCGCACAGTGGGCCAGAAGACCGGTGGAGGCGGCAAAAAATTCTTGACGCGTTTTGAGCTCTAGAGTCGCTAGACAGGACTCGAACTGAACGTGTGACCCCACCAATGGATTGCTCTCCGAACGAGGATTCCATTGGTGGGGTCACACGTTCGTTTCGAGTCCCGTTTAGCGACTCTGGAGCTCTAAACGCGTCTCGAGTTTTTGCCGCCTCCACCGGTCTTCTGGCCCACTGTGCGTCGCTCTGTCTCCCTCGCTCCAGCCAGACGCCCCACGAGTGCGACAGAGACGCGACTCGGAATCGCCCAGCAGGTGCCTCGTTCAGGACAACGCGACGCGACCATCCGACGCGTCGCGACGCGATCTGCAGCGGGGGCGGATCCAGACGAGAGGGGGCGCTCGCTTTTGCGCGCTTCGTGCACCCACATCCATTGGGACCGGCACACTGATTCAGAGACTCGTTTTCGTCGCTCTGTCTCTCTCGCACCCATACGAGAGGCCCTAAGAGTGCGAGGGAGACAGAACCAGAGCAGCCCCCGCGGGCCCCGGGCCCGCATCGGTCACGTAAGACGCCTGGAAGCGCAGAGCCCCCCTCAAGGTGCCCTACCCCACGGGGGGCCCCCTCGATATGCAAGTGACGACTGTGCAGTGTCAAGGTGGCTTCCGGCCAACACCATTGCGCAACACACACACACACACACACACACACACACACACACACACACACACACACACACACACACAGAGCACCACGCCGCCAGCCACGTGACCCCCCAGTCATCTACACTGAGCCACCGCCATACACACGCGATACCAGTGTACCACCCGCCCAGCGCGCCAGTCGTACAACGTGCCAAAGAAACATTAAGCGGCAAAACGCAAAACAAAAACATAAAAAAGTTTAAAATTTATTTTTTGTGGAAAAAATGCGCGTATGCCGCTGAGTTATTCCCACGACGGATGTACGGAACGGACGCATGCATCTTACAATTGCAAACACACACGCACCACACACACACACACACACACACGCACACACACGCACACACACCACACTCGGAGGACGTTGCCATTGTCGGCGGCTAATCGCACGGCGGGCGAGTGCCGGGGCGGCCGAGGCGCGATGCTGGGCATCACTTTAGCGCCACCATCGTGATGCGGTAATAATAAGCCGGCTGAATGACAACCACAAAAAACAACAACAAAAACAGAGTAGGCGCGCGCAGAAGATTGAAGGAGAAAAAAAAATAAAAACAACAAAAACGTAAAGAGACTTGACAGTGATACGCTTCCAATGATGTTTGCTCACGCCTTCCCAAGCCAAGGGGCGGGCGTCGGCGTCGGCACGCCAGCGAGTGAGTGAGTACACTCTCAAAAGCAATCCCAGCTCTAAAAGAATGGGTGGAAGAGGAGGAGGACAAGGGTGGACTCGATACGAGTTGTGTAAAAAAACATGTTCTAGTCATTTTTAGGGAGTGTCTCAAAATCGTCTGAACGGATTGTTTCAAAAAATTTCAAAGTGTTTGTTGAAAAAAATGCCTTTGATCTGCGTGGTCTGCGGCGTCTAACCACGTTTTGGTTTAACCAGTGTTGTCACGTGGCGGACGACCGAGAGGAAGTAACTTCGAGTTTCAGTGAACAAATTTTTCAATTCCACATGAGTTTTTAATAAATTTTATGCAGCCAAATTTTTACGAATTATAAAATTTTAATGTTAGAAAGAATTTCTTTAAAGTTTGACTAATTTTCATGAATTTTGCAGAAATTTGGCTGAAATTCATGATTGTCCATTTATATATCGGTGCGCAAACTTTTTTGAGTTGTTTACCCTGACAGTGAACTGGACTCACCCTCTTGAGCGGCGGCCGCGACCGGATGAACTCGAGGATGAGGGCGTGCGCGTCCTTCTTGACGGTGTGGGGGATGTCGGACTGCGACACCTTGTTCAGAGTGTAGCGCCGCGACCGGATGTCGTCCATGAGGATCTCGTACGGCGTCAGCTCGAACTCGACGGGCGTCCGCGTGTAGTGGACCTTCTTGAGCTGCACGCCGTGCCTCAGCTCGCGGATCACCTGCCCCCACAGTCGGGCCTGCAACCAAAACAAGGGTCAGGACACGCTGCACGCAGAAAAAAAAAAAACAACTTTTTTATTTAAAAACAAAAAAAAACGTTTGTTTTTCATTGACACTCTGAATGTCTTGCGAGGAAATCTCCTATAAAACGAAGAAAATGGCACAATCAGCTTAGTAACAGGAATCTTTCTTTGATGTTACTGAGAAATTTTGCTTCGAAATACGTCTGCGCCACACTGTAACATAGCTCATAATGTATTTCGTTGTAAGACATTTAAAGCGTACTTGTTTTCTTTTAAGTAAAATAAAAAGATCTTGATCGCAGTTATGTAAAAAAGAAGTTTGGAAAAAATATGTATCTAAAGAAAATCCAAGAGCAGGTTTTATAAAACTTGATCCAAAGAGTCATTTTTTTTTCAGGGTGTGGCAAAACGTAAAAACAAAACACAAACAAGGGGGCAAACAACTACGCTAAGTGCGGAACACAGAAGAGTGGGAGAAAATTGAAATAATCTTTCTTTAGAAAACTTATACAGGCTACTAGAAAAACATAGCGAAAGAAAAAGTAAAACCCTCATTTCAGCAAACTAAGTAAAAATTATGCGTGGTAACGTGCTGGGAACACAATGCATTACAGCAGCAACAGACAAAAAACAGCCCCTCCTTATTTCATTTTTCAACAGTGTCCCTAAAAGCGTGCCGAATGGCCACGGAAAAGTACAACGACCGCGTCAAAAAATCCTCGTCAGAGACCTCAACGCGCGAGCGGGGTAAGGCGGTAGCCGCACAGTGGGCCAGAAGACCGGTGGGGGCGGCCAAAACTCTGGCGCGTTTTGAGCTCCAGAGTCGCTAAATGGGACTCGAACCGAACGTGTGACCCCACCAATGGATTGCTCTTCGAACAGGGAATCCATTGGTGGGATCACACGTTCGGTTCGAGTCCTGTTAGCGTCTCTGGAGCTCAAAACGCGTCTAGAGTTTTGGCCGCCCCCACCGATCTTCTGGCCCACTGTGAGCCGGCCGGCGCACCCGAATTGAAAGACGAACAACAACAACTGCAACAACGACAACAACGGGTAACGCCTCGTACGTTAATTAACTCGGGTTCGCATTTCTAGCCGGACAGCGAGCGGCGGGCAGCCATAAGCCTCGGAGCAGGCCGAAGCCGCGCACATGTAGCGTTTTAGAGCGGCCATCGCACCGACGCCCTCTCGACCACCACACCGCAAATGTGGGAAGCGCAGTGCACCTGTTCCCACAATAAGTTCACTACCCGAGTACCGAGCCGTACACTGCAACCGACCAGCCAGCAGCGCAAATATTATTCTTTGACTCATTTGCTTTTTATTGTTTTGAGCGCAGTTTGATGGTTCGTAATAAATTGGGACGGCTGGGCCTTCGACCTTGTCTCCAGTGTGGGCGACGCGCAAAACAGAGGCAATTACGCAAGACCGGAATTTGTCCCCCCTCCCTCTCTCTTTCTCTCTCTCACACCACACACACACACACACACACACACACACACTGTACGTGCGTCAGACAGGAAACCCACACAGGCGCAGCAAAGCGCATCGCCGAATAAAATAGTTAAAAAGTCGTTATTTTCCAGTGCGGACGCGCGGGTGAAATTCTTTTCGCTTCCCGCCGCCGCCGCTTGTTGGCGGGGAAAATTATGACGCAGGAAGAAAAAAAAAAACAAAAAGAATTTATCAAGGAAGGCGGGTGGGTTCTCGGTTCCCACACGACCGCATTGCAGTCTCGGTACAGTCGCCGACGGAAGGCGGACGCCTACTGTACGCGCCCATGGCGAACTAGGCAGTGTAGGCTACTGATTCAGCGAGTCGTTTTCGTCGCTCTGTCTCTCTTGCACTCAAGGGGCGCCCAGTGGAGGTATGAGAGAGACAGAGCGACGAAAAGGACTCTCTGAATCAGTCCGCAGAGCAGGCACGGAATCACGGATACGGGCGTGGGGAAAAGAGGTTTTGGCACCTCGATAGCCGCCTGCACTGCAAACCTAACTGTGTACTAAGTACGCACTTACAACGCACGCATGCTTGGCGCCGTATAACTCCATGCTAAGCATAGGCGTTTGTAAGTGTGTACTTGCCAAGCGTGCATTTGTCAGTGTGTACTTGCAAGCGAGCATTTGTAAGTGTGTACTTAGTAGACAGTTAGATTTGTAGTGTGGTCATAGGCAAAACGTCATACTTTGCCCCTGTAAGTAGGCACAAAGTGTCCCCCCCCCCAAAGGGCGCCTCTGGATCCGCCTCTGGCACACGGTAGGCAGCCGCGGCCACTTTCCATGTTAAAGGTTGGGCCCGATGAGGCATCGCATCGCCGGGGATCGCGGTGACAGAGCGAGACGGCCAAATGTCAGTCGTGATCATCGAGATCTCGAAGCGAGTCTCGAAGCGCGCGCGGGGAAGGACGCGACGCGGGACACTTTCTCAAGCGAGCCTCGTTCAAAAAGCGAGCAAATGACGATAGTATTTCGTCATCCGCGCGAAATGCGAATCCAAACAGTGGGCCGCACAGTGGATGTGCCAGAAGACGAGGCGGTCCAAATCCCGGACGCGTTTTGAGCTCCAGAGTCGCTAAATGGGACTCGAACCGAACGTGTGACCCCACCAATGGATTGCTCTCCGAACGAGGAATCCATTGGTGAGGTCACACGTCCGGTTCGAGTCCCATTTAGCGACTCTGGAGCTCAAAACGCGTCCGGGATTTCGTCCGCCTCCACCGGTCCTCTGGCCCACTGTGCTGCGAAGGGCATTGAGCCGTTTCGGCGACGCTCGGCAGGGTGGCCCCGCCTCGCAGGGTATAGCCACAATAGGAAGGCAAAACGCCGTCCTCGCCGCCCTACAAGGGGGTCCGTCCCAACGCCACCCGGCGCAGCGAAGCGAGCCGCCATCTAGGCGACGGTGAAGCAACTCATCTGCTGGCAAACCAAACAGCGACCCGCACCCACGACAACGACCCGCACATGTTGAGGTGGGTCAAGTATCGGGGCAGCTGCGCCACAACCATCAGTCATGTTTGCATCGAGTAAAGCGGAGATGAGGCTCACGGACTGCACACCCGCGAGCACACGCACACACACGCACACACAAGTGCAAAACGCTCTGTAATAGCCCGAATCGTTCCGCAGAGGAAACCCGTTTTGCACAGAGATACCCACAAGCTTTGCAATGCATATGCTCAAAAGGGTCTGGACGCGCGCCCTCGTCTGATGCACGCGCCAGGATCAGTCAGGTATCTCGACCGACAAAAAGAAGGAAAAAAGAGATTACGCACGGCCAGAGAACTGCCACAAAATTCTTCACTGGAATTTTCCCTCGGGGCGCCCCGGATGGGTGCGAGAGAGACAGCGCGACGAAAACGACTCTCGGAGTGAGTGCGCAGGGTCACTGCCTAGGCGACGACCACTTGGCGGTGGAGAGGGGACGGGAAGGGGAAAAGGGAAGGGGGAGGGGGAAAGAACCACCGTGCTCCATTATGCAAATCACTTATTAAAGTGTGCCGGCGTGGGCTAAATTTTGGGTGCCAGTTAGCGGACGGACGTAGGCGCGCGCGAGAGCAAGCGGGCCGGCCGATTGCGGACACGTCGCTCTGTCTCTCTCTCTCCCGGCGGGACGCGCCGCGCGAGAGTGCGAGTGAGACAGAGCGACGAAAGCGCTGTCCGGAGAAGCCGGCCTGCAGCGAGAGCCCCTCACGGCCGCCCGGATCCGCAGCCAATCACAGACAGCGGGGCGACGTGGCGTAGCGGGCCCGTGAGTCACAAACAAGACACATGCAAAATGGATAAATGCGAAATCGACACATGCTCGCGCGCGTTCGCGCGGCCTGCCAGGATATTGAATATTCACGCCGAATGGCGGCCCGGCCGGCGCGCCGTCTGTCTCTCTCCCTCTCTCTCTCTCTCTCTCTCTCTCTCTCTCTCTCTCTCTCTCTCTCTCTCTCTCTCTCTCTCTCTCTCTCTCTCTCTCTCTCTCTCTCTCTCTCTCTCTCTCTCCTCCCTCTCTTCTCCTCCCTCTCTCTCTCCCTCTCTCTCTCCCTCTCTCTCTCCCTCTCTCTCTCTCTCTCTCCCTCCCTCTCTCTCTCTCTCTCTCCCTCTCTCTCTCTCACGCATGGGGGCTTCCCTGGAGCGTGCGAGAGAGACGGGGCCACAAAACAAAATCGCCAGTCGGAATCACTCTGCGGCTTGCAAGCCGTCGAATGTCCGTTTGCCAGCGAAAACAGCTAAACTTAGCCCCTTATGTAAGTGCGGGATGCCTGCGGAGATAAGGCTTGCCGCGGTAAGCGCGGTGACGGCCTGACGGGCCGCGCAAAACGAATTTGTCCGGACGCTACTTAAAGCGCCGACTATCCCGGCTGAAATCTGATCTTCGACAAAGTGCGGCCCTGCGGCCCCGTCGTTGGCCATTCCGGTTAGACGGCCGTTTATTAGCCACTCATTAGACGGCGGTTAGCGAGCAGCAGACTGATTCCCAGAGTCGTTTTCGTCGCTCTGTCCCTCTCGCACCTGTGCGGAACGCCCTAGGAGTGCGAGAGAGACAGAGCGACGAAAACGACTCTCGGAAGCGGTCTGCAGACGCCGGGCGGTTTTGCGATAATGTACGGACGGCCAGACGCGGAGAAAGTGAGAACTATGCCTCCCGGGAGACGGATTTTAACTTCAATTTAAATCAGGTGCTTGGGAGGTAATTTTGTCCGAGTGCTAGTCAAAAAATTCCATCTTGCGAGCCTGCAACATTGTCTTCTGACAGTTTTCTGTAAATATTCCAAGTTTTTAAACTTTGACTGTTTGACTTTCTGATTGAGGTAAGTAGGCACTTGAGTGAAGTATCGTAATCTCTCAGAGCACTCTAAATTCTTTGAGTACCAGAGCTCATCCGGGGGCAATCGATTCTTTGACTGCAGATTAAGGATTGGCTTTTTTCATTCTTCACGGCTCAAGGAAACGTATCACAAACTGACATGTGCACCCGTAGAAAAAAGTACGGAACATGTCTGGTCAATTAAACATCTGAATCGTCAGTGGCTTGCCAACCTTGGATGTTTCGTACATATTTCCCCGACTAGTTTACATGAGATCCTTTAAGGACCCCGGAGAACCAGAAGGGAAGGTCCGTAGTTTTTCCGTACCCCATTTTTCGTACATATTCCGCACTAAACTTCAAAAATTTTGCCAGAGCAGGCATTTTTCACGCATGGGCTCAGTGTTACCAAGCCAACAACAGCATCCACGGACAGTCCATTAAAACTCGACTTCCCGCTCGCCGCCACGCCGCCCCCTGACCACCGCCGCCGCCAAGGTCACCGGACTCGACCTCTTCGGTCTTCGGTTTGAAAAAAGTAACACAGAAATTCGGTCGGCCGTTCTGGAACGCTTACGAAACGCCACTGCGCCGTCATTACGTAATGTTTGCGAAGAAGCGACAAGACAAGGTGGTCCCAAGGTGCTATCGAGTGACCCGCCGCCTTTTATTACGTGTCCATTTGCATACACGATACGATGACCCGGTCCAAAAAATAAAACAGAATTGAAAAAAAAATTGCACTGGTCCATTGACGGCATTCCTTTATCACATTTTTTTTGCCGCTCGGAGACGGGAAAGCAAATGAATGGGACGTTCATTAAATGCACCGCGTTCATCGAGACGACCAGAGACGACAACGCTATCCTTCCGAGCAAGGGAAAGGATACAGGAATCAAAAGGCCACTAAAGCCGAACCGCCGAATCCAAGGAAAAAACAACAAAAACATAAATTAAAACAATGAGACCTCCCGAACTGAGCATGCATAATATGCAAGCGGTCTGCATCATTATGCAAGAGCAGCGAAAAACAACGACAACCCACGGCACGACCCGAGCCAGCGCCAAAATAAAGTGTGTTTAAACAGGTACCCGTCATTTCCCAATAAAAAGAAATGAGCCATAAATTATTGTTGTTATTATTGTAAATTAGAACAAAATTGTGAATCGAGGCGCATTCGACAGTGGAGTGCCAGGACTCGCATGCAGCAATGTTTACAACACAAAGACAGACGAGGAAACAAACAACGCGTACTACAGATGTAACTCGCTGTCCAGACTAAAAGTAACAAACTTCCGATTTTTTCAAGAAAGGAAAAAAAAGCTGCTCTACTCATGCATACCGCATAAAATAAAACAAATCCAAAACGTTACAAAATATGTTTCAACACGTCTACAAATACGTACTTGCAGAACTTGGAAAATCCTAAAGTTGTTCTAAAACAGAAAAATCCCAAGTGTATATTAAAATTACACCGAGAGATTCTTTTCTTCTCTCGTCAAAAACCAAAGGCGAACGGTGGACCCTCTCGTAATTTCGACGGAGTCCCATCGAATTTTTGAAATGAGGTTTGTTTTGAAGTAAAGGTATATCCTGATAAAAATTATCTGCGTGTATCCCTCCGCGAGGTCCCCGGAGGCCCTCTGGCCACGCGTGGCTCCACGCTGCGTGCAAAGCCAACAACCCACTCCCAGCAGTGTCGGACGAGCCGACAGAAAGGGTGAGGCCGCGGGCAGTCCACGCCACTGCAAGCGCATTCTTTGATCTCGTTGACGCCTCGGAGTGCATGACGCACGTTGCATGGCCTGCATGGCGCACCGCATGCAACGCACCCTAATTACATGCCAATAAAGTTAATTAATCCCGGACAAGGAAGCAACAATGAGGCCGTACACAATTGGGGCCGCAATGGCATTTTCCCTCTCTTTCTCTCCTTCTTAAAGTGCGTAAGCCTAGCGGCGGAAGACATTCCAGACTCCGCAGGAAAAGAGGGGGTGGGGGTTAAGTGTGAGGGGGGCGGGGGAAGACGGGGCTGGCGTGTGTGGTCGCATACTCACCCAGTCAGTAAACTTGAGTTGATCCAAATCGGTCGATGAGTTGGCCTGGTCCCTCCGCAGGTCTTTGGTCCCTTGCGACACCTTCTCCAGGAAGCTGCTCAGCTCCAGCGTCTCCAGCACCAGGGCCCGGCACACGGCCCGGTAGTGGGTGTCGGCGTCTTGTCTCTTGGACGCCCCGAGGTGGCTCATGCACATCTGCGAGTCACAAATCAGTGGTTATCGGAAAGAACAACGCATTTTCGATGGGTTTCCCATGTGACTTACGCCCAAGCTCACGCTTAAAACGTCAAAATAAGTCAAACTTATTCCCCAGGGCCAAAAAGGTTTTGTTTTGTACTATATCTGTCAAAAACTCAAAGAAAAACATTGTGCTTTTGGCAGTTTTCGTAGGTCAGAGGCCATTTTCTTAAACCGACACGTTTTCTGAAGGTTTTCCTAGATTTTTTTTCAACAGAGATCTCCTATCCCACGACCACCTCACAGTGCAGTGCGTGCGATTAAAACGGGTGCAGAGAGGAAAGCCGTTTTACGACCCCCAACTTTGTATCTCTGGAGAAATACTGGCCAAGCCAGGCAAAGGCGCACACGTCCCGTAAAGTTTAAACACACGGCGACGTGACGACGTGAGGCACTTTGCTTCGGATTGCAACGTTTTCCGTGAGAGGGGCGTTTCAGGACAAACAGCGTAGCGTGGCGCCAATCATCGCATAATGTCTCTATCAAGCCGCAAACTGACGGCGAGCTGCTTCGCGCTGCTTCGCGCCGCTAGCGAAGAGCTCCGCGGCGCTGCGGTCGGGGTGCGTTACACCTGGCTACTCTGCTAACAAGATCTTACGTCACCTTTTTTTTTCGCCGACAAGGGACAAGCACGCTTTAGCCACAGCTACAGCTTCAAGCTACGGTTTACGGTGCCGCCTACGCCTAGTCCCGCCAGGATTGCCCCGAAGCACTTGCCACGAATTTCAAGACCGACAATTTGCCAAATTCACGTCGATGCAAACTTAACGCACACCACGTTGTTCTGCAGATGAAACGTGGCCGACACCTTCGAGTGTGGGACAACGCGGTATGAACTTAACAGTGTACGCTTGACCGACACTAGAATTTAGAGTTTTACACGGTAAAACCAACGTCCGGGGTTTCCCAGGCGCACCCTGGAAAAATGCGCCGCGTAGTTCGTCTACACAATTTAGATTTTTTCAACTTTGTGCGACTGATGATCACTGTATTAGAAGGTTTACCGTAAAGTAACTAACTTTTGTTCTTCATGAAATATTTTTTCAAAGTTTTGGCACAGCTTTCTCACCTTTATTACTACCGCCAGGGCGTCCTCGTCGTTCTCACTCTCGCCGGAATCTCGTTCGATTCCCTCGTCGTCCGCCTCTTGGGACCTTTCCCCGGCGTCATCTGCAGCGAGAAAACAATTATTATTTCTATTTCAATGAAATAAATTAAACAAAGTCCGGCAGTGGCGTACGAAACGCATTCAAACAGGCAAACAGGCTAACAGACGAGCGGTGGTCGGTGGTGGTGGCCACCCTATACCGATCGTCGGAATCGACAACGAGCATACAATACGGCCCTATTGGTCTCAATGGAAACCGCGGCGCGCGCGCCTCCAAAGGGTCGTCGCTGCACAACTTCTACACCACCGTCGCAGCACGCACACACACACACCCCTCTACACACACACACACTCACACACCCCTCTACACACACACACACACACACACCCCTCTACACACACACACACTCACACACACGATCACACACACGAACACACACACACGAACACACACACACGAACACACACCTACACACACACCTACACACACACGAACACACACACATACGAACACACACACACGCACACACACATACGCACACACACACAAACACACACGAACAGATTTCCTCGAAGCGTACCGTGGGCACACTCGCGTAATACAGCGCCCTCTATACTACACTGCCCGCAGCGCTGCTCTGCTCGGCCACCGCCACTGCCCTCTCTAGACATGACAAGAGCACCGGCAAACGCCGGCCGGCCGGTCGGCCGGATTACAATTAGCGGGCCGTGTTTTTATCATTTTACACCGCCTTTGTTTTCGTCGGCCGGGAAATGGCGAGGCTCGTCGTTAGCGGCCATGAGAAGGCAGCTTTTCGATTCCGCTGACAAATACGACGTATCGCAGGCAAGTTTTTCGAAGAGCGGCGCGCAACGAGGTGAAAATGAGAGTCGGGAAATACGTTATAAAAACCGCGGGTAAGATGGAAGAAGAGGCAAAATTAGGGGAAAAGAGAGCAAAAGCACGCAGCACTTTGTTTCCAAGCGTCACGCAGAGCCGCGCGAGGGCACGGCCCGGGAGGCTGATTCCGAGAGTCGTTTTCGTCGCTCTGTCTCTCTCGCACCTACGTGGGACGCCGCCTGAGTGCGAGAGAGACAGAGCGACGAAAACGACTCTCGGAATCAGACCGCAGGCTCGGCCACGGCCACGCAGGAGAGTGACGAGAAAAACAACAACACACTGTCCGGCGTGGCAATGCCTTGGCAGTGCAGTGGCTACCTCAAGCACCGGCCGCGAGCAAATTTGCCTGGAAAAAGTCACTTCCGATGGCTTTCGTAAGCGATGGGCTTTATCTCGGGTAATGAATAGTCAACAGGGAGCTGCCCGCGGCTGGGAAAGCCCTGGACTGCCCGGACTGCCGGACCCGCGGTGCGAAAAAAAAGCCACAGTCAGCGAACCGATGAGGGGCCGTCCGTTTCCTAGGGCGCCTCCAGGAACGAAGCAGCCCCTTTTCTTCGTTCGATTCCGCTGGGGGGAAACTTCGCGTCTGTTCAAATTACCAATCACGATGTCCAGCAGACTGATTCCGAGAGTCGTTTCGGTCGCACGCATGACATCTTACGAAGTATTTTGAGCATATATAGTACAAAATAATTTCTTTTGTTGTAGTTGCTTACTCAGACGCTAGAGGTCTGCTGAGGCTTAACAGCGCTGACGATGCTGTCCTTCTCGCTCTCACGGCGCGCGAGTGACAGAGCGACGAAAACGACTCTCGGAATCAGTCTGCTGTCGGACATCGCTACCCGTCGTACGCGTTCCCCGACACCTCGCGGCTCTCGGCGCCACGGCCACACCCCGCACGTGGGAGGCTGACCCACAAACCGGCGTTCGGCCGGCCGGCCGTTCGTCGCGGACCTGAGCAAGGTCGCCGCGTGAATCAACCACCCCGGCCATTTTGGGAACGAGTGCACACACTCGACGGAGAGGAGAGGAGAGAGAGAGAGAGAGAGAGAGAGAGAGAAGAGAGGAGGAGAGAGAAGAGAGAGAGAATCACACCCCAAAGGAGTGTAAGCGCCCTCGCGTCGCAGTACACTCGTGTTCAAGAGCAGCCCGTGACATGCCGGGCGCGAGCATCAGGGACACCGGCCCTTATTGGATGAAGCCCTGTACTGCAGCAGGCGGCGGTGCGCAAGGCGGTGCGGCAGTGCCAATGCCACCACACCAGAAGTGGACCAGAGCGCGCCGCACCGCCGCACCGCCTCACGCAGGGTAATGTGCTACCGTTTGTGGTGTCGAACCCGTTCCAAGCCGCTCGGCCCGTCAGTGTGAGTGAGTACGTGTGTGTGTGCGCGCTCCATTGACGCACCAAAGCCCGCCGTCACAACCGCACCAGTCAATGGCCACGGAATACATTGGCGAGCGAGCAGCGTTTCCCCGCCGGCTGCTGTCAGACCTTTGCCTTTGCCTCCCGGGCCGTAGCCTCCTAGCGACTCATAGCCTCCTGGCAATCCATAGCCTTATGGCGACCCATAGCCTCCTGCCTGGCAACTAAGCCTCCTGGCGACCCACAGTCCCCTGGCGACCCACAGTCTCCTGGCGACCCATAGCCTTCTGGCGACCCATAGCCTTCTGGCGACCCATAACCTCCTGGTGACCCATAGTCTCCTGGCGACCCATAGCCTTCTGGCGACCCATAGCCTCCTGGCGACCCATAGCCTCCTGGCGACCCATAGCCTCCTGGCGACCCATAGTCTCCTGGCGACCCATAGCCTCCTGGCGACCCAAAGCCTCCTGGCGACCCAAAGGCCTCCTGGCGACCCATAGCCTCCTGGTGACCATATTCTCCTAGCGGCCATAGCCTCCTGGCGACCATAGCCCCCTCCGTCTACAGTCTGCACGCCCACTGCGAAACGAGTCAGTCCGCGCCACGGCCAAGGTCCGCGGCCCGTTTTCGCCAAGGTCGTACTGCTCGGATTAATGTCCCATCGATGCAGTCTGTCACTTGTCTCCGTCTGTCTGTCCGTCTGTCTGTCTGTCCGTCTGTCTGTCCGTCTGTCTCTCGCGTACCGCCCCTGGCCCCTCCCGTCGCGAGAACAATGCCGCGTCGCTTCTCACGCACTTAGGACGGCGCGATTTACAACCGAGCGCGCCTTTCCCTGATAGAGCACCAACACCACGGAAAAAAAACTAGTGCCCCCATCCATTCCAAAGCACCTCCGTGTCACCTGCTGACACCGCTGGGACCGCTGGCCGCGGGCCAAAGCCCGGCCGAGCGGGGCCGAGCCGGGCCAAGGTTACGAGGCTCGCGCCGCCGCGTCCCGCCGCGTCTCGCCGCGTCAGTGTCCCATCGGGTAGCACTTCCAGAGGAATGCCCGAAAAGGCGCGCCGCCGTCCTGTTAATTTGTATGGTAATGCCTCGCAGCGCGCAGGGCCCGACGCACACTTCTCAGTGATATGACAGCACGTGACGCGCCTCTGTGTGCGTCTGTGTGTGTGTGTGTGTATGCCTGTGTGTGTGTGTTTTTCATTCAGATTCATACTGCAGTTATTTAGTAGTTGACGCGGCGGGTCCGCGCGAGAAGATGAGTAGGACGACGGACCTCCCACAGAGACGGGCATTTAAGCAGTGACAAAAGGTGTCGTCCGTGTGATTTTCGTCGCAGAACAGCAGGAGAGAGAGAGAGAGAGAGAGAGAGAGAGAGAGAGAGAGAGAGAGAGAGAGAGAGAGAGAGAGAGAGAGAGAGAGAGAGAGAGAGAGAGAGAACCGTGAAATTCCCCCTTATTAGAAAAAATGAAAGGAGGAGCGTCCAATAAACCATCAAGATGACGCGTGTGCGATCGAAGTCGACTCGAAATTCGATCCGGGGGCCACGATATCAGTTAGGGGGATTCGGCACGGTGAACCCTCGGTTGCGACAAGACGACTGGCCAGTCCGGGACGGCCGGGAGTACGGCACCATCTTGGGAGGCGGCTCCGGTACAAGGACCTGACTCGTTAGAGCCAGCCGTACTGGAGCAAGGGCGTGCCGCCATGCAGCGCGCAGTGGGCCAGAAGACTGGCGCATGCGGCCAAAACTCTAGACGCGTTTTGAGCTCCAGAGTCGCTAAACACGACTTGAACCCAACGTGTGACCCCACCAATGGATTGCTCTCCGAACGAGGAATCCATTGGTGAGGTCAAACGTTCGGTTCGAGTCTCATTTAGCGACTCTGGAGCTGAAAACTCGTCAACAGTTTTCGCTGCCTCCACCGGTCGTCTGGCCCACTGTGGTGCGGCCGTCTGTCTAATCCAACATCATCGTCCCCAAAGCCATCACGGCAACAAGGCAGCCAACAAAACACTCGCCGATTTTCTTCCTCTTTCCCACACAACACCCTACATGGCCAACTTGGCGCCGAGCTTGGCGCCCCCCGAAGCTTTCCACCGGAAGTCGCATCCAATCGCAGCCGGTCGGACGGCCAGCGTGCCGATTCCGAGAGTCCTTTTCGTCGCTCTGTCTCTCTCGCACCGTCAAGGGACGCCCGATGAGTGCGAGAGAGACAGAGCGACGAAAACGACTCTCGGAATCAGCCTGCAGCCCCGAACGGCGAGTTGCCGCTCCATCCTTGTTAACCTCTAGGTGGCCAGCTAATGGCGCGGGGCCCAGATGCACCTATTCCTGGATTCGACCGCGGGGGAGGGGAGGGGGGGGGAGGGGAAATTAGCATTCGAATCATGTGCACTACGGCCCGCTTGACCAGCTAGACTCTCCACGCGCGTGAGGTAACCCGGCGACAACCAAAATACTCCTGCCATTTCCTATACACTGCCACAAACACATTAAAAACTCCACAAATAATCACTTCATAATAGGAAGAAAAGGAAGGCATTGTCAAATGTACAAGAAATCCTTCATGTTATGCCAAATCATTTCTTCATATCACGAAGCAATAGTACCAAGGGGAAATCACAATGAATTTCGATGCACAAATCAAATGAATTTCAGTCGAATTTCAATGACTTTCAGTAGAAATTCAACAAATTTCACTGAAATTTCGAAGAATTTCAATCGAATTTCGATAACTTTTGATGAATTTCAGTGAATTTTTCAAGTTTGATGAATTTTGGTGTACAAATTTGATTGGAGTTTGTAGTTATGAAGCAAATGCTTCGTACGCATTTCAGAGTGAACACAAAACCGAAAACAACAAAAATAATGGCGAAAACTACCGTTCACCCGCGCGGGCAGAGTGCCGCCGTGCGGTACCAACAGTGCATCGCATGCCAATAACTTTCCGCCGCTGAAATACGACACTTGATAAGGAATCAAACCGAGGCGACACGTCCAATATCGGAATGCGTCCTCAAATATCCGTCTCTCCACTACCCGCGGACACACACACACACACACACACGTGCGCGCGGCCCAACGCACCGCACGGCCGCGTCGTCCTGTCACGTTGCTTTCCTTACCTTTCCGGCCACGTCCGCGCGACGCACGTAAATAATGTACGGCACACACACACACACACACACACACACACACACACACACACACACACACACTACCCGAGCCCGTCACTGGATCCGCCCTTGGCCCACACCGTCGGTATGATCACCCATTTCATACCTGCACAGCCAGAACAAAATCGGGGAAAACTCCCAGTCGGAAAATGGTCTACCTCTGCTTTGTCGGGCCCCGGACCGGAACCAGTGGCGGGTGGCCAGCGGAGCGGGGCTGTGCATGGTGGGTCCGGCCGGCCGTGGCTCCTGGCTGGCTGCTCGGTCTGCGCGGCCCGCGCGCCCCGCGCCCGGACGGACGGCATGTCAGCCACTTCCTGCAGCCAGGCCGGCCAGGCCCTGCTGCACAGCATGCCTCACCGCATCCGCTTAATCGCTGCAAGCGCACTCGCGCCGCGGCGTGGCGTGGGTTCGAGTCCCAGCGCCGCCTTTGTTTTTTTCGGTGGTCCGCGAAGCGGGACTGTCACTGCGCAGCGGTCGAACACCTTAGACGCGTTTTGAGCTCCAGAGCCGCCAAACAGGACTCGAACCGAACGAGTGACTCCACCAATGGATTGCTCTCCGAATGAGGAATCCATTGGTGGGGTCACACGCTCGGTTAGAGTCCTATTTAGCGACTCTGGAGATCGAAACGCGTTTAGAATTTTCGCCAGCTTCACCGGTCTCCTAGCCCACTGTGCACTGCCCTCTCGCAAAAAACGCAAAAAAATGACTGTCGATTCGTCACTCTGTCTCTCTCGCACCCATGCGGGGCGCCCCGCGAGAGAGCGAGAGAGACAGCCTCTGGGCGGCTTTCCTAAAAAGGGCGCGAGGCGCGGCGCTTACGACACCGTTCACTCCGGGCAGAGCGCGGCTCCGGGCTTGGCGCGCCATGGCGGCCCGCGCGCTAAGTAGAGACAATGCTACATGTTAAATAGGGGTACACTGCGAAAACGGCGTGCGCAATTTCACCGCGTGCCGGGCTGCTTCCGAAGGGGAGTTACGTCGCTCTGTCTCTGTCGCACTCGGGGGGCGTCCCGAGTAGGTGCGAGAGAGACAGAGCGGCTCGCGGTCGGGAGGACACCTCGCCGGGGGGTTTTCACCTGACCAACAAACCACACACACAGCAGCCTGGCTCGGCCCGCCTCCATTCCCATGCAGCGACGCCGACAGCGACGCCGACAGCGACGCCGACAGCGACGCCCGCGGCGGAACGTGAACCCATCTCGACGCGCCGCGGACGCCGCCAGCACAGTGGGCCAGAAGACCGGTGGAGGCGGCCAAAGCTATCGACGCGTTTTGAGCTTCAGAGTCGCTGAATGGGACTCGAACCGAACGTGTGACCCCACCAATGGACTGCTCTCCGAACGAGGGAGTCCACTGGTGGGGTCACACGTTCGGTTTGAGTCCTGTTTAGCGACTCTGGAGCTCAAAACGCGGCTGGAGTTTTGGCCGCCTGCGCTGGTCTTCTGGCGCCCACTGAGCGCCACCAAGAAGGCAGCAACCGCCTTGCAGTTCATCATCGTTTTGGGAGCCCTCCCCCAGCGGCCGACTGAACGGTGCCTTCGTCGCTCTGTCCGTCTCGCACCCATCAAGTGCACGAGAAGCAACGCACCGCTCGCGGAACCTCGCTCCGTCTCTCTCGCACTCACTGCTGGGGCGCGCCGCTCAACGGGTGCGAGAGAGACAGAAGGCACTGGAATCGCACTGCAGTCGGTCATGCATTCGTCGATCCGCCACGCAACGCTCGGCGACGGCCGCGGCGGGGGCACAACAATTTCACTCTCCGCCTTGCCCCTCCGATTCCGAGAGTCGTTTTCGTCGCCGTCTCCCTCGCACCCATACGCTACGCCGCACGAGCGCGAGAGAGACAGAGCGACGAAAACGACGCTCGGACTCCCTGCCCGAATTAAGCGTGTGAAAAAGGCGGGCCGGCGCCGGAGGGCCTCGCGGGCGTCGCAAATCGGACGCCTCCTCGCGCCTTTTTTTCCCACACAAACTGGCTGTGCCTTCTTCTTTTTTCGCGGGTGTACGCGCCATTATGGGCCCACTTAGCGACGGCGAAGCCATGGCGCAGCACAGCGCAGCGCCCGTCATGGCCGAATTCAGTCGCGACGGTCGCACGCACCGACACACACACACACACACACACACACAGGGGAGAAAGTCGAGACGCGTGATTTTGCATCGCCTTGTCACAACAATGATACCCCGGCTAAAATCGGCTTTAACCCCCCACCCCCTCTCCTGTGATAACGGCCCCGAGAGAGAGAGAGAGAGAGAGAGAGAGAGAGAGAGAGAGAGAGAGAGAGAGAGAGAGAGAGAGAGAGAGAGAGACACATGACGAATGGGCCTACCTGTCGACGTCATGTGTTCGATGAGCCGCTCCAGGTCGGAGCTGAGTCGCCGCTCCTCCTCCTCCTGGGAGCCGAAGTCCAGGGCTTGGAAGATGAAGATTCCTAAGCATTCCACCAGCTGAAACAGACAGAGAGCACCACGCCGTTAGTTGGCTCGCGTGATTTTCATCCAATTTGGACGCACAGGGAAGTGGGGTAAAGTCGTTGAATGAAAAATATCTAAGGGTGCAAACACTAGATCCTTGTTTTTGAAAGACCAAAATCTTTCAACTATAATGCCTATGTCGAAATCAACCGCGCAAGTGCTCATGCCTCATCCCTTCTATCAAAGTACAAGTGATAATTTCCTCAGGCCGCTTCATGAAAAGATCGTAAGATCTTCAAGCGTAACACGACGAGTTTTACTTGGGAACCAACCCATAACATTTTGTTGAGGTCATCGTCCTGAGGACGCATGCACTACACACACTGACTGCGCAAAGGCAGAGAAGTTTGACACTTTCTCGGCGGTTTTTGACCCCGCTGGATTCATTAGTGAGCGAAGGGGCCCGGAGAGCCAAGCCCTCCACAAGAGGGGCCCTCCGCATTCAATGCCGCCAAATCATAGTCCACAATGACGCAACGGCAGCGGTCTGTCTCTCTCGCACCCCTTGGGGCACGACGCGTAAGTGCGAGAGAGACAGAGCGACGAGAGGCAGTGTTCGGCATGCAGCTTCCTTTCAGGCCGAGTCAATGGCTGCCGACGGCACTTTCTTCCGGGGCGGGATTCAAGCGGATCATCCCGAATCCGTCAAAAGGCCGACGTCCGAGCTCGCGTCCGAGGCCCCGAAGTCCGATGCCCCGAAGTGCGAGGCCCCGACGTCCGAGGCCCCGAAATCCGAGGCCCCTGAAGTCCGAGGCCCCGAAGTCCGAGGCCCCGAAGTCCGAGGCCCCGAAGTCCGAGGCCCCGAAGTCCGAGGCCCCGAAGTCCGAGGCCCCGAAGTGCGAGGCCCCGAAGTGCGAGGCCCCGAAGTCCGAGGCCCCGAAGTTCGAGGCCCCTAAGTCCGAGGCCCTAAAGTCCGAGGCCCTAAAGTCCGACGCCCCAGAGTCCGAGGCCCCAAAGTCCGAGACCCCAGAGTCCGCCGAGCCCCGACGCCCGACGGCCGGTCGGGGATCCACCGCTCATTTATCAAAGCCGATATTAAAAGTCATCGTCGCAGACCGCACACCCGTTCCGGCGGATTATTTCGGAGCAGGACAAATTGAGAGGCAGCGACAGCGACAAAGTCGCCGCCACTGCACCATAATCCCGCGGGCCGCGAAAGCTGCCCGTGTTTATTTTCAGTCTAGTTGTGCTGCAGGGTGCTTTCTGCAAACGCACCTGCTGCTTTCTTCACCCGTCAACGTGTCAAAAGTACGTGCGTGCGTATGCCTCTCTCTCTCTCTCTCTCTCTCTCTCTCTCTCTCTCTCTCTCTCTCTCTCTCTCTCTCTCTCTCTCTCTCTCTCTCTCTCTCTCTCTCTCTCTCTCTCTCTCTCTCTCTCTCTCTCTCTCTCTGTGTGTTGGTGAACGCCCAGTGATTAGAGCGCAAGAGCATGCAGATCATGATTGATTGATCGACGCGTGCTTTTCGTAGCGATTTGATTGATTCGATGAGTAGCTCCCGTGCGAGTCCGTCACACTGCACGCGTTCAAGGCGGTCAAACAAAATGAAAACCAGCGCACGACATGACCAGGGAAGCATAATAAACTGTAGGTAGTGGGTGGGGGAGAGAGAGAGAGAGAGGGGGAGAGAGAGAGAGAGAGAGAGAGAGAGAGAGAGAGAGAGAGAGAGAGAGAGAGAGAGAGAGAGAGGAGAGAGAGAGGAGCAAAGCGATAAAGTTTTCAAAATCCCATCTTCTTTAGGATACCAGCTTCCGCCATCAACATTCGGAAACCTCAAACACAGCCGCGCGGAGAGAGGGCAAAAGAGGACCAGATTCGAAAGAAAAATGGCCATTTGACAAGTCAATTGACAGGGAAGACGCGCCAGGGAGAAATTGGCGGCAGAGGCCTCACCCCGTCCTTCAGCATTACGCCGGTAATCCGACGCGATCCGCTTCGCCGCTCCGTCTCTCTCGCACCCCGACGGGCCGCTCAAAGAGTGTGACAGAGACAGAGCGACCGAAAGATCCCGCAGAATTGCCCGGCAGGCGAAGCGCCAGTCGGGCCCGTGACATAAGTCGACCCCTGGACCTGGACGGAGACCTGGACCCACTCAGAGCATCTCAGCAGACCAACTCCGCGCAGCTTCCCTCCGTCTCTCTCGCACCCAAAGGAACGCCCCGTGAGTGCGAGAGAGACAGAGCGACGATATTCGGAATTAACAGCCCACTTTTTTATGGAGTAGTAATGACACGATAAGGCGAAAGCCTCAATCAGCAGTAAACACAGCGTGCACTTATACAGTGGGCCGGCGCATTCAAACGAGGCGCCGTTTCGCGCCCCACGCGCCGCCGCACAGTGGGCCAGAAGACCGGCGCCGGCGGCCGAAGCTCTGACGCGTTTTGAGCTCCAGAGTCGCTAAACAGGACTCGAATCGAACGTGTGACCCCACCAATGGATTCCTCGATCGGAGAGCAATCCATTGGTGGGGTCACACGTTCGATTCGAGTCCCATTTAGCGACGCTGGAGCTCAAAACGCGTCCGGGATTTCGAACGCCTCCACCGGTCTTCTGGCCCACTGTGCACCGCGGAGCGGCGCCGCGGAATACATCACTGGAAACCAGAGACGCCGTTTCATAACCCTTATCTCACCTGTCACACGCACTAGCAGTGGCGGCGCTCGCAGCGCCCCGACGCCCAGCGGTATTCGCAGGACGCGCGGTGTGTGTGCAAGATCCGCTTGGTGCGCGGCTGCAGGCCGATTCCGAGAGTCCTCCTCGTCGCACCGTCTCTCTCGCACTCGTGGGGCGTCCCGCAAAGGTGCGAGAGAGGCAGAGCGACGAAAGCGACTCTGGGAATCAGTCTGCCGCGCTATCCCGACGCCATCGCCCACGCGCGTCAAAGCGAGCGACGGCGACCGCGAGGGGAACACCGATCGAAACGGGGCCATCGTACCATGAATACTCACAACAAATCACTTAAAGTCAAATGCAAAAAGTGGAAATAAGAAAATGGTTAGAACGGAAAACTTGTCAGAAAAAAAGAATGTCTTCGGTCTGTGAAAAATTTCCAAACCTCCCAAATGTTTCTATTTTTTTTTTTTTAGCTTCCAGCAGGTACCTTTTAGAAAATCGAAGCTTTTGAAAATGCCCGATGAAGCTTCAACGCGCACCACATGAAATTTTCCAACCTATTTTTTTTTCACAGAAATTCTTACCGGTATTGTGTGAGCTTAAAAAAAAATTCGTTTGAAAATTCAGGGCGAAATTTTGATGTAAGATGCAGTCTTGAGATGATTCTAAGAGGCTCGGACGCGGCGCTGCGGGGCCAAGACTTTTTCCCCGGTAACTGCATTTGACACAATGCTCTGCTCGCCGGTCACCGACGGCACGACACCATTGCGCAACGCCGGGGCGGCGGGCGTGGCGGGGCGTTCATAGATTCTGATGGCGAGTGTGTTTTGGCACGTTTGAGTCGTGCGCGAGCTATTTGAGCGGCGGCACGCCAGAGGGCGCTGGGCGCGCTGGGCCCCGGGCGACCCCCCGCGGACCCATTACCGACAGTGGTGGCGCAACTTGATTTTCGAGTAAGAAGTCGCCCGGCTGCAGACTGATTCCAACGGTCGTCGCTCTGTCTCTCTCGCACCTACACGGGACACCCCACGAGAGCGAGAGAGACAGAGCGACGAAAACGACTCTCGGAATCGGTCTGCTGGCCCGGGTGGTGACCCAAACGCGCGGGGGAACAACACGTGGCATTGT